AGCGAGTAAATCAAAGGTTAGCACAGCCCCAAATCCTCTGTAACGAGCACGACGTCTCTTCGTGGGCAGCTCCACCATAAAAGGCAGAGAGTGAAGGAAGTTTTTGATAAAAATCACCACACAAACACGTTTCCTTCTGCCTCCGTTGGATGGTTTGGGTGCTCCAGAGCTGAATCACAGCAGCTGAGCCGGGTGCGGGGCCGATGACGGAGCCGTGGCCGGGGTGGTGCTGCCCTCCTGGAGCCGCGTGTCCAGGGAACCACCAGGTCCATGCATTGCCTTCCCATGCATCCTTCCTGTCACCCAATAGTCAAGGATCAGGCAAACTGAGGATTTACAGTTCCCGTGTTTTACCCTTGCCTTTCTGCTTGCCAATGAGTTCACGTTTTCAAAGTGATGGGGAATGATTCCACACTTTCTTGCAAGAAGAGCAACTTCAAGCCCTCTTTTGCTCTCTATTTTCCTGTGTGATGGGAAGTAGGGAGACACCCAGACCTCACGGCAGGGCTGTCCGCCCCCCAGCGCTCGCTGACACCAAAGCCCATCCATCATCTCCCGAGAGAGCACGTGGTGCTGTGCACTTCTCCCACAGCTGTCACCCAGCTTCACATCCAAGCACTCCACACATTTTCACCTCATAGCAGGTCTTTACGTTTGCTTTTTGCTCCATTTTTGGATCACTTACAGACACAGAGAAACACCACCTATTTTTCCCATCTTTTTCCTCCACTGTGGAGTTGTTATTTCACTTTTCATTTCTCATCCCTCACCTCGCTGTCAATTCTCAGACCTCCTCCCTGTGCCAATAACCACATCACTGCCAAGAGCTGCTCATGAGGAGCCCTGGCCAAGCCCCCGGGACACCCAGTGCCCCCACGGACCAGCCCAGCTCCATCACCCAGCGGTACCAGAAGCTGCTGTTCCACCAGCGCGTGTTCCCTGTTCTGACCCATATCCCACGCCTGCTGACACTCCTCTTGTTGCTGTTTCCATCAACGTTCCGACTCGCGCTGTCAGAACTCGGCCGTCTCACCCTGCAGAGCTCCCCAGCGCAGGGTCCCCCAACCCCGCTGCCTTCCCCAGCCTCCACTGGTGCCACTCCTGCATCCACCCCGTGCAGAGACACCCTTCAGCCCTGCTCCGAAACACCAGCGAGCACAACCACTCCTCCTTTTCCTGCCCGTGCCATGTCCTTCTTCCCTCTTCCTCCTCCCCTAGAAACACTTTCCTGTTCACCACATTAGACTTTCTGTGGACTTTGGCAGAGTTTCCCCTCGCTCCATTCTCAACTTTTTCTCACGGGTAGCACACATTTAATACGATCACCTAATGTTGCTTTAAGCAAATCCTCTGCGACTCGCACACATCGCACCCCTTTGATTCCGCCAACAGTAGCTCACCCATTTTCATGTAGTTTTAACTTCAAAACTAGATGCTATTTTGGTAAATGCTCTTTTTGCCTGTTTCTGTTATGGAAGGATATAGAATTTGAATGCATTACCATTACCATGCAGTAACTACATCTCACACAGTCTGCCATGCATCATTGGGGGATTAAAACCTTTCTGGGATTTTCCAACAGGTTTCCTCAAGCTGATCCTTTGAGCCTCTGTAAGCTCAGTCACAGCCCTGCACACTGTCACGATGCCACATCTGCAGAGAGGTGCCCAAAAGGAGCCTCCTTTGCCCCTTCCCAGGCCACCTTGGTTTCTTGGACTCAGCAGAGACCCTCAGAGCTCCATCCCCGCTATCTTCAGCACTGATCTCAATGCATCGTCTTCCCGCACACCCCGCATCTCCGGGTTAACAAAGAGCCTCTATGCAGGGCATCGCGAAACCCAAACCCTCTCCTTCAGACTCCCTGTTCCCTGAAAAACTCAGCTCAGCACTTGGGGAGGCCGAAAAGGAAGACGCTGAATGAACCCATTGAGCGCTCCCTTGGCAGCCCGGCCGGCAGCGCGTCTCTTCAGTACTTCTTTGTTTGAACGCCTTCTGACTCGCAGGGTTTGACCCAGAGACGTTCGGGAAGCTGCAGGAAACGTCCAGACGTGGCTGCTGCTGCAGAACAATTCCTTCTGAAAGCTCCACCTGCGTGAGAGGCACCGGGAGCCCGTGCCCGACCTCTCCAGCTGTGGGGATCCCTGCTCCGGTTCACCTGGTCCATTCCCTGCGCTCACATGGAGACGACCCAGCTGCTGTGACCGCAAACCTGCGCTTGTCAGGGTGTGCACAGCCCTGCCCCTGCTCACAGCCACCACCAACAGCCCCATGCACCACGCTCCCCAGGCTGAACCAGCTTCAAACCCATCGTCCACCTCAGCCCAGCACCTCCGCCCCCAGCATCCGAGCACACACATTTACAGGGGTCCTCATGCTCTCCAGGCACCGTTCCAGAATGTGAAACCCCAGCCGCACTGAGATCAGCAGCCATGGTGAGGGGCACAAGTGTCGTGCTCCCCCAGCAAGAGCAAGATACATGACAAGGGTTCCAGCTTAGCCGCAGGATTTTAGGGGGGCAGCAGGGACTCGGGAGAACGTGAGGACAAAGCACAGGCTACCAGACCCTTCAGTTTCTCATCATACGCAAGGACCCAGGAGTGCTGCAGGAGTGA